CTCTTTCTTCTTCTTCGCCTTCCCTTTTCTTCCTTTCCATATTCTCTTGAGCCGAGGGTCTATCAGAAATAGCTTCTCTACCTCTCCAGGTAGGGATAAGGTCTGCGTACACACTGCCCTCCCCAAACCTCACTTGTGAAATTATACTAGGTATATTGTTATTATTGTAGGGTTGGAAGAGTGGGTCGAAGTTTTTGTTTAAAGTATTGAAAGGATCTATGAGTTCCGTTGGGGTAATGATGATTTGAGGTACATTTCATGGTTGAAAACATAAGCTGAAAACTGAAGAAATCAGAAAAACCTTCCATTGTTGGGGCTCAAGTTTCTCAGATCTGAAATTTAATTGATTAAAAAAATTCCATGAAAGAGCCGAAAGCCAAACTCGAATTTGAGGTTCATCTTGAATTGGTATTGTTGAGTGCGCTCGGAAACATCATTGATCGTTGTTCCAATCAATTGGGGGGTTCAAAACTGAAAATTGAAATGATTTAGATTTGAGCTATCCATTGATAGGATTTATTTGTATAACAACATCTTTTATACCGTGTTATATAGTTTTATACAAGGTTGATATATTGTTTACAAATTTCTCATATTTTGAAATGGGGGTGTGATGGTGGCTAAAAAAATATATTCTCCCTGTTCCAGTTTATCTGAATCTTTTTCCTCTTGGTTCGTTAAAAAAAATGACCCATTTATAAATTTGGAAACAATTTATCTTAAACTTCCAACTTTCCTTAATGAGAAGCATTTATAATCACACAAATACTTTGAACCCCTTTTTAACTTGTTTACGACCACAAATTCTAAAACTCTTCATTTTTTCTTAAAATTCGTGCCCAGTCAAACAAGTTCACATAAATTGAAACAGAGGGAGTATGTTTTTTTACCGTTAACGTGTATAATTATTATTATACACTCTTATATATTATTTAAATATTATGTATACAAGTGTATATATATTGTATATATATAAGCGTGTATAATTTTTTTGTCATTATCTCATTCACCACTATGAAAAAAGTATATACGTTAAACTTCACAAATTAATTTTTTGTGTGTTTTTTTACCTTTTCTTGAATAATTTATGTATAAAGTCGATTTTCTTAGTTGATTTCTATGTCAAATCACGAACTTATAGCAAATTTTTTTAACGAAAAAGGGTCAAATATGTCCATGTACTATCAAAAATAGTTTAAATATATTCTTCGTTATACTATCTGGTTATATCAGACCCTACCGTTATACTATAAAACAAATATACCCTTATTTTTAACAGAGTGCCACGTGATTGCATCAGATTAAATTGACCCATTGTTTTGCTTTTAACCCGGTTCATTTACAAAAAATACTACCCGACCCAAAGTACACCCCCATAGCTTCTCTCTCTCCTCTTTTCCTCATCTCTTCTCCTCACCTTACTGTTTTGACCATGGCCGGCATCTCCACCTGCGAGTTCGCCGTAAACCATGGAAACCTTCAGATTTGTCACCTCACAACTTTTCTTCGCCTTTCTCTATACCAATATACACATTTATATACAGATCTGGAGAAATACATAAAAGAGGCCGGAGATCTGAAAGTTTTGGGTCTAGATTTTACTGGATCTGACCGAAAATCCATTTTTTCGGCGAGTCATTTGCTCTTCTTTTTCATATTCTCCTTTTATTTTACGGATCCAGAAGGGAGATGAAATAGATAGCTGAAACTCCGACCTTGGTGTTTGATCGGAATCTTGCCGAAGAATTTTTCGGCGACCTTTGTGCACATGTTCCCTCTGACCGTGCTCCATTGTCTAATGCCTTTGTAGCAGTGTCTCAGCCTCTGTTGGCTACTTCATTTTTTAAAACCAAAATTTTGGGTTGTGGTTTCGAAATTAATCTAATTGGTTTTGGGATTAGATTTTTGGAAATCTGCTAGAATCTTGATATCCAAACTTATTAAATTGCTGGAGAAATTGAATTTTTTTTGTTATTGCCATTTGCCATGGTCTCATCACAGGTTTGTTATTGCTTCATCGGGTTTACTTTATATGTTCTATTTTGAAGCTTCTGTACAATCCATTTTTTACTGTTTCCGCGAACCTCCCATAATTTATTCACAATCATTTATTTCTTGTTTTTGTCACTAACAAGTGAATCTTGGGTCGGGTAGTATTTTTTGTAAGTAAACCGGGTTAATAACAAAATGAATGGGTCAATTTAATCTGGTGCAGCCGCGGGGCACTCCTTTAAAAATAAGGGTATATTTATTTTATAGTATCACGGTAGGGTCTGATATAACCAAATAGTATAACGAAGGATATATTTAAATTATTTTCGATAGTACAGGGACATATTTGATCCTTTTCCGTTTTTTAATCTTTGTATTTTGGTTCATGCTCTTTGGAACATGGGAAAGAAAAATATATATATAGGGTTTTTGTTACATTGTGGCTGGTCTTGTATTTTTGTAGAGAAGATGCAATAGGAAGGTATAAGACCGATTTATGCTGGATTCTGTTAAGATTCAGAAATTACACAATTTTTGTGCTCGAAGATCTATAGAATCAAAAAGAAAAATTGGAAATAAGCCTTTTTTTGGCGAAGCTTGGCCTATTGTATTTGGTTGTAACTTTACAAAATTATATAGGGAAATTTTCATAAAACATTATCTTTTTGTGATAATTAGCTATTTATAAATATTATTTGTTATATTACGGATTGCAGATATTATTTGCTGTATTTATGAATACAGTAACAAAAATAGGCGTGAATTAGGGAAGTCCAGCTAATCAGTTGTTGTATTCGAGTGTATTCGACTGTATTTATGGCGTAAACCATGAGATTACAGCTGGACAAATTATTGTATTCGACTGTATTTACGGCATGAAATAGAGGATTACACTGTTTTTAAACGGAAAGTGAATCAATTAACATAATAGACTCCTAATATAATTCAACAAACTCAATTATAACACACATATTTTGTATTTTCAGTTATAAAAAAAATTCTTAACCGAAAAATACCCCAAAAACATAGCAATCTTCAGAAAAATTATATAATACATTTGAATACATAAATTATATTAATTAAAAGAAATATATGATTACATTCATGGCATATAGCGAGACAGTGAATATAATGAAATACATAAAATACAACGGGATATATTGAAATACAATTAAAAAAAGATAGTGAATACAATGAAATACATGGAATAAAGCGAGATACATTGAATTACAATGAAGAAAAAGACAATGAATACAATGAAATACATGAAAAATATAACGTGATACGTTGAAAATACATTGAAAAAAAAATTAACAAAAAATCAAGTTGCTCAG